AGACAGGGTGAGCTCCTGCTGCCTGCCCTCTGACTCCTGGCCACCAGCAGTTTGAAAGCATGCAATATTGCAAGTAGATAAATAGGTACCACTTTGGTGAGAAAAATCTAGCTGTGTTCATGTGTGCTGAAGTAAAAGCCAGCACTGGACCTGGCCAGATGTGAGACAATGCAACACAAGGCAGGCAAGGAAAGGCAAGAACGGTGGAGGGTCATAATCTCCCAGGGCATCCCCTGTAAAACCTAGCAGGTGTAATTTCTTCATCAGCTCCCTCTCCCAACAAGAAATATGAGAGTCAGCAAACACCAGGGAGAGGTAGCTACCAGGAACTGCCAGAAAGAGTACCCAAAACCAAAACTTTAAAGGTGTTAATCCACGCCATACATTCGACTGATCGAGTGCCCAGTTCCAGGTACATCGGAGCAAAACCAACCCAAGGAGGAAGACCCAGAAGTTTTCTAAGAAAGACAGCGTGGGTTCTTTCAATACAATCCTTGAAGCCCCGTATCCATATGGGAATTCTGTAAAGAGTTTGAGCCAAAGTTTTGGCTTTGTAAATACACAGAGCAGAAGGAATAAACTTGCCTCCTTGGGTATTAAAAAAAATCTTAAAATCTGCTGGTGACTACAGGAGGCCGAATTCAGCACCTGGGTTCGATGTCTAGTCCAAGCACCGGTGTCCTGAAATTGAATACCTAAATACTTAAAATGGAAAATCTGCTTAACAGCATTACCATTGATAGCCCAGTTATACAATTTCCGAGCTCTAGAGAAATCCAATACTTTGGATTTGTCATAATTAATGGACAAGTGGTTCTCAGCACAGTAAGACCCAAATGCAGAAAGTAATCTTTTCAGACCTGGCCTTGACAATGAAAGGAGGGCCGCATTGTCAGCATAAAGAAGAAGTGGGATCTTTGTAGTTGACAGCTTTGGGACATGGGATTCAATACGTCCAATGTGAAAGGCCAAGTCAGATAAGAATAAATTAAACAAAAGAGGAGCCAGAACACAACCCTGCCTTACTCTGTTCTTAATCGGGATAGGATTTGAAAGTTCTCCCTGCAAACCACACCTGACCTGACTAGAGGTCTGGTTGTACAAGGATCTAATTAAGAACAGAAGATGTCTATCGATAAAAATGTTGTGCAGTTTTGACCACAACAGTCCCCTAGGGACTGAGTCAAACGCTGACTTTAGGTCGATAAAGCAGTAAAAAGTTTGCCACCTGGTATGTAGTATATTTATCAACCAGGTGCTCTAAGACAAAGCAGTGGTCCAGTGTGGCACAGCCCACTTTAAACCCAATCTGTTCAGCACCAATAATATTGGACTCCTCAACCCAAGTGAGGAGTCTAAGTTGGAGATATTTAGCATACAATTGTCCAATGATGGAGAGCAGGCTTATGGGGCGATAGTCAGCTGGATTGTTCCTATTTCCTCGTTTAAAAACTGGAACAATAATTGCTAAGATCCAGGAGGTAGGGATTCTGCCAGAGGTATTGATATGCGTGAAGAGTCTTGCTAAGAGAGGAATCCACCACTTGGGATTGGATTCTAGCAGATCAGGGGGTATAGCATCAGGGCCAGGGGCTTTGCCTGACTTGAGTTCGGAGATAAGCTCGGTAATCTCAGCATGAGTCACGGGTTGCCAGTCAGGAACTGCAGGAGACAGCTGTGGCCCAAGCACAGTCGAACTTGTTGACGCCTGGAAAATTGCCAAGAAATGGTTTTCCCTATTTCTGTTGGAAAGTTCTTGATGACCTGGCAAGGAGCTGGCAACAATTTGCCAAAATAATTGAGTATTCTTCTGCTGGATGGAGAGGAGAAGTAGATCCCACTTCTCTCCCTCTTTAGCATTCTTTTTCTTAGCAATTAGTCCTTTATACTCCCGCTTTAAGCGATAGTAGTCCACTGGTGGGCATTTATCCCTTCGATTATGATAGAGCAGGTAAACCTGATTAATCTGGTTCCTGAGCATCAGACACTCTTTGTCAAATGAAGAATTACTTCTTGAATGATATGGACCACTCTGCCTACGGACGGCTCCTAGCTCCCTTTGAACACTATTAATTAGTGATTCAAAGGCCAAGATTGTCCCTGGGCCACTACTTGTTAGGGCCTGATTGTATAGGCTGAGACACTCCAGAGATGATAAAAAAGAGTGGAACTTTCTTTCAGTATTAGAAGACCATTTGATCCTCCTTGTATATGAGGCCACATAGGGATCTAATATCTGGGGACCCCTAGGGAGATGTATATTTGAGGAAAGCCCAATGATTGTAACCAGGGGGTAGTGGTCGCTCTCCATAAGGCAGACCACATAAAAAGCATGGACTGCCTTTCTAAGAAGCTGGGATACCAGCACAAAATCAATAACACTACTCCCACATGAGGAACTAAAAGTAAACTCACCAGCCAGATCACCTAGGGTACTCCCATTTGTTTTATTGTTCATTTGTATCCTTTCTTGGCTATCATATGCTTCAGAGTTTCTTCAGCAACAAAATTCAAAAGCATCAGTACTCTTTCTATTCTGATTCTTCTTTAAGGCCAACTCTTCCTTTCCGAAAGAGTCATGGGAAAAAATAATTTCCTGCATGCTTCTGACCTTTGTAGGTATAGACAGATCCTGCCCTATAAATATCTTTTCACTGTTATTACTTATTATATCAATTGCTAATCCATGGTATATTTCTGCCAGCGACTCTAGGCAGCTTCCAGGCAATAAAAACTATTTAGGAAATAATAATTAAAAAACTCCAGTACCTAGCCCCATGACAACATACAGTGAAATGATCCCGCTGGCAAAACCAAGTCTTCAGGGCTTTATGAAAGAGTGTCAAAGTGGGGGACAGTTTAATGTCTGTGGGGATGATGTTCCAAAGGAAGGGAACCATCATGGAGAAGGTCCTTCTTCTGGATCCTGCCAGATGGACTTCCTTCATGGACAAGACCCGCAACATTCCTTGCCTCGCCACTCTAGGTGATTGGGTGGATGTGACCAGCAAGACTCTCTCGGATAACACAGTCCCAAACCAAGCAGGGTTTTAAAAATGTCAACCAGCACTTTGAATTGCACCTGAAAGCAAATTGGCAGCTCCCAGAGGAGAGGTAACCCACGTGCACACCTACCTCTGCACAAAACCTTGTGGGTTTAAGCCTAAAGTGACCATTTCCAGTCCTTCTTTCTTAACCCTAAGAAGCAAGCAAGGGCAATCCATTTCTGAATTTTTGCCAAGAAAACTGCAGGAACTCATCCAGACAGTTACCTTCAATGACTTGAAGGCACACATACATATAATTATGTCTACAGTTTAATATCTAAGATATATTAGCTTTTATTGCTAATACAAGGTTTTGTATAAATGATATATATCCACATTTTTTTTGCTTTCTTATTTCCAGAATTATAGCTTTTAAAAGTCACAGTATTTGCCTCAGCTAATCTGGTTGGTTTACATTATTCTGTTGATGGGAATGGATTTAGATGAATAATTCACTTATTCAGTATTATTTCATAAAATCCCTTTAATTCCTATTATGATTGAATTGTGGTCACCATCCCTTTTATGAAGTGAAACAGAAACACCAAGATAACATATTAAAAGGAAGTGATGAGAACCTCAGAAGTAGATTATGCCCTCAATGGATCATGAAAATCCACTAAGAACTAGAAAAACAATGATGCATACATCAAAACTGAATGGCTACTAGATACATCATGCGTAAAGGTATTGTAAAACATTATTTGCACATGTACATGTGTTTTGACTTATTATACTTATGGTACATTGTTTTAATTTGTGGGAAATTGGTGTTCAGATTTGCTAAGAGGCACTAATTCTCAGACCTGCTACTGGCATTGCTTTGCAATGGCTTTGCTCATTTCTCTTGTTGGTTGATTTATTTATATGTTATATTTGGACCTTTCTGCAATCTGGATTAGGGGTGTCAAACTCATGGCCCGCGGGGCAGATGTGCCATGTGCTGGCCCCACCCCTGCTTGGTTTAGCGAAGGGGGAGAAATCCTGATACATCACGTGACGACGCCATGACGGCGCGAGTTTGACATCTGATCTAGATGATTATGGAATTAATACTGTATGATACAGAAAACACTATAACAATGGAAAGCATGCAAGTCATCAAAGAATCAGATCTCAGTAATAATGGCAATTACCTAAAAATAAAGTAAAGCAGAACCTTTCAGAACAGCATCTTTCTGAAATGCTGGAAGGGGCATCTCAGGAAGGGGAACTGCACAATCTTCAACTGTTGTTTTTCCAAAAAACTGGGACTGTTCCTGAAATGGCTGACACCTCATGAAAATCTTCTGCCACCCACGATTCCCTGAGAAAGTAGCCAATGTCAGCAATTGCTCACAATAAGAGCAGACCAGAGTGCTGTCATAGTCTATGACAAAGCAAATGAGAGGTTTAATCAACCGCTCCATTCCCACACAATTGAAGAAATGGATGAGAAGGAAGCTATGTCTTTAAATATATATTTTATGTAGATATCGTTTCGTTTGAACTCCCTGAGTCATTTGGGGTTTAATGACTTTTTTTTTCTGTAGGAAGTTTTTGCTGAAACATTTTCTGTTGCGGTTCAAGTTTATGCAGCAAACTATTCCTGAGATCTGTGATTACCCCAAGAGTTTCCTTTCACTTTTTATTTTATTCTAACTGTACCTGGGTTGTGGAAAGTAGATATCTCATACACAGATATCTAGAGATACACAGTGAAAATTTTGTGGATTAAGCCAATAAAGCTTGAGAACGTAATGATAATCTGAGGTAAATGAACACATTTTTCAATTAATTAAATAAATGACCTACTTCAATGAAGGTCTCCTATGAATGGCAGATCTTCAACTTCATTGAAAATCTAAGCAGCAACAACCAATCAATTTTCACTGGTGAAAAGAAACAGCATCACACACACAAAAAAAGGAACTTTGTGTGTATGTAGCAGTCATTTCCCCTCTTTTGGGCAATATGCTTACTCTTGGCAAGGACTGATTCAAACTCACACATGCTCCCCACCACAACATTGCTACACCATGTGGAAAAGGTATTCTTCAAGTGACTTTTCTAACAAATGTTGATTGGGAAATGTGGGGAAATTTCCCTTGCGAGTTCTCTGGGGTATTTAAGACCATCTACTCTTCTGTTTCAAGAAAATGTTGTAGTTATCTGAATATTTCTAAGGCCAGACAATGAAGAGCTACAGGTAAGATAAAATGGGGTGGTTGTTGTTGTTTTTTAAAGTGGAAGAGAAATTAGTTGATTGCATCGTTAGGTGGCCAGAGTAGTAGAAAGACAGGGAGTTTGACTGTTAAATGGAAGGCAGCGTGATTATTTTTAAATGTTGTAATAAATCATACGTAGAGAACATTCTGGAAATATTTGTGGGAATATACATTTTCAAAAATTAAAAATACCCCTGCCTATAAAACTGGATGTAATTCAATAAGCAAGAGACTATTCTTATTTTTGTTTCTTTTGTTCGTATACAACAAAAGGAAAATTATATGGAGTATAAAAATGTTGGTTTTGTCCTTTATAACAAAGTAGAGGCTAGTCACTCTTTCAAAATATGGTTTCATCTACAATACATGGTTGTTATGAGCTGACATACACAACAGATACAAGGTAGAAGTAATGAGAAAAATAGAAATGAGATTGGTTCCAACTCTCTAGCCTCATAAATGACTGGCCCTCACTTAGAATTATCCAGAATTATCAGACAGCATGATCAAATACCGTGCTGATTCTAGATGAGAGGAAGTCTGGTTATAGTGACTTGATGGTTGTAGATTAGGGATTCCTCACCATCATCTCAAGCCACCTAATATATTCTTTATCAATGCTGCTGACCTTTGTTCATTCCCCTCCCCCCAAAAACCCCTCTTCCAAAGCAGTGGCTGCCAGTTAAGTTACTTAAGAAAGATATTTTGTTTTGCATGATAGCAATAGCACTTAGACTTATATACCACTTCACAAAGCTTTATATCCCTCTCTAAGCAGTTTACAGAGTCAAGCATATTGCCCCCAACAATCTGGGTCCTCATTTTACCCACCTCGGAAGGATGGAAAGCTGAGTCAACCTTGAGCCTGGTGAGATTCAAACTGCCAAAATGCAGGCAGTTGGCTGCAGCAGAAATATCCTGTAGCCTTCTAACAACTGTGCTACCATGGCTCTTCTTCTTTTTCAATTATAACAGAGTAAAAATATTAGAATCAGAGGAGAAGGGGAACCTTCATATCAAGGATCTGTTAAAACTTGCAGGTGGCAATTTAGAAGCCCAAATCTTAAGGGAATAAGTAGACTAAGCTCTATTGAACGGAGTGCTTTGCATAGTCAGGCGAAAGCCAATCCGCCATAATCCCAGTAGGGACACTGAGCAGATTTTCAGTGGTGGCAGCTCATGCAGTTTGTTCAGATGGGATCATCATCGCCAATTAATGGTCCAATTCAGCCTGAGGCAAAAAAAAAATAGTCTTGCTTCATACTACTCTAAATGCCGGGGGTGGGCAACTAATTTTCCTAGGGGGACAAATGACAAACTGGGACAGTTGTGGAGGGCTGAACCAATAGGGCTATGAAAGTGTGTAGGCATGTACAGATGTGCATATGTAAACTGAAACGAAAATAGAAGTTGCTTTCAAAATATAAAGTAATGCAGTTGTATTGCACGCATGCCGTATGATTACATTTGATTTCTAATTTCTGACTGACCTCACAGGGGCCAGACAGGGACAGACAAAAGGTCAGATGTGACCTGGGAGTAGCAAAATGCTCTGTAAAAAGGTTTAAAAGTTTCACCAGTCCCGTTGGGCTGCTGCTCATGTCTGATTCTTAGCCTTGGTAGCTTCCCTCATCATACAAAAGTCAGATCAATTAGAGGTGAATCTTATTCAACAAATGCAACAGGAGGCAGGATATTAAGTATATTATATTAATATTAACTTATTATGTATGCTATATATATATTAAGTATTAAGTATTATTAAGTATGTTATGAGCAGGAAGAGTTTTTAAACCCCTAGTATGAACAATTGCTACATGTTTCCTGTTGATTCTATGCCAAAGCATTCCCCACTTTTCCTCTCATTTATACCTCACTATCACTAGGAGAATTTTTTTTTTCTGGCCAATAACCTGCTCCCTAATGTCACTAGGGATTATTTCATCTGGGTTGTTTTATCTGAAATTACAAATGCCAAAAGAATGTCTGCTGTTGCAGATATCAAAGCTATTTAAATCGTAATTTTATTCCTGCCCCATGATTTGCTTAACTGTTGGTTGAATAAAAAGCAGGGCATGGGGTCCACTTATCACACACTTAGGCAGAAAACATAATTTATAAATTGCAGTACTGTCATGCAATTTAAGGAATTGCCAAAGCCCAACCATTCACATTAAGGGATTAGCACTCTGTATGAATCAAAATACAGTGCAATTCTTCTTTGCAGGACTTTGTGGGACTTCAAACAGGCACATAAGTAAAGCCTGTCAATTTTATTCAGAGACTTGCACTGCAGAGAAGGACCATGGATGCATTTTCATGTTTTTTCCCCCCAGTTCTGAGTTATATCCAGCTTCAGCATGCATGATGCAAGGTTCAAGTTTCACATCACAATTGCGAATTTGAACAGGCAGGAAACAAATTATTGAGTAATGAATAAAGTACAATGTATTCAGATTCCTCAAGGTTAAGCCTTGAGAAATATAGTTCAAGTACTTTTAACTGGTAAACAATAGCCATGTAGCAATAAGAAGTATATTCTTGAGCAAGAAATCCAAACAGTTCATTAACTTGTTCTATTCAGGGAAATAAACTAGTTCCACTACACTTTTGCTATCAAAAGTGTGGAGTTCTTCTAAACATCCTATAGGCATTTTAGTATTGACTCCCTCCCCCAGCCAATATATTCAAATGAAAGTAGTAGAGGAGACAAGTTCTCCAATCTCTTTGAGATGGGCAAGATACTTGCGACACTATGATTTTTTTTCCATCAAAAATGGTAAAAACGGTAGGAATTGGAGGAGAAGAAGAGAGACTAGCACCTTCTCAGCCTCCTCTGCTATGCTAGGAGGACTAACAAAATAGCTGCTATGTGAGAACCCCAGCTATCCTACTTCCACCAAAAGATAAACTAGTTGATGAGGAGGAAAGATAGCTGGATTCTTTGTATTAGGTGTGTTGGAAGAAATGTTCATCTGGGTTCAGTTGCAAGTGAGGAGAAAGACACTGGAAACATGGAGGCTGCTTAGAAGGATGGTTTAATGATGAAGAAGAACCACAAAGTATGTATGATTCTGGGTAGCTGACCACATGGAGTGGAGAGTGAGAGATATTTATACTATCTCTTCGGCTTTGAACTTGAGTTTCCTGTTCTTGTGGCAAGGGCATGTATTCTATTGGCTGCTGTAGAGGTCATGTGCAAATCTTAGGAGTTTGTCTGAGATAAGTTTGGTTGAACCTTGCTGAGTTATGCAATGAAGGGCTTGGTTGTGCCATGTGGTGAGCTCTGCTGATAGATAATCCTATTATGTCCTGGAGGGTCATGTCTTAATCCCATCACCCTGGAGCTGGAGGCCTTTTGTCTTGCAGATAAGCTGGCCCAGTCTTTCTCAATGGGTACCAAATATCTGCTGGGGGAAGGGAGCTGAAGAGAACTACTCTTTGTCTTTAAAAACTTGTTTCTCTTTTTCTCATCCAAGGAAATATAATATTCTGCCTTTTTAATATTCCTCGAAACATTTTAGTCTTCTGGGAGGGGTGGGTGCTAAGTTTCTTCAGATGTAAACAGAAGCAACATCAGGTACAACCTCAAAGCTCTGAAGTTTTATGTACCATGATTTGCCTTCTTGTTTTAATGTTTCTGGTTTACTCAAAACTCAAACAGAGATATAAATATAGGTAGTTCTTCAGGATTGAAGAAGGCATACTGTTTTGCACTTCAACATGGAGGGAGGTCTGTAATCCCAAGATGGAAGCCCAGAGTGCAGTACTAGAAATCCATTGTTGTAATAACTGTGAATGTTATTTTGTGATGCTGTTCATGGTTTTTTTTATCAGTTTTTGGAGGCACTTGTCTTCAAAGCCAGTGGAGGCTTCCTATAGCACAGGACTTGCCAGTAGCTTCCCTCAGCAACTGCAGCTTTAGTTCCCTTGACTGGATGTCACAGTGGCATGGGGTCTCCTTCACAGTGACCCAGTAGTTCTTGTATGGATGATCTTGAGGTCTCTTCCCAGTTTCCAGGTTATACCATAAAACAATTCGCAAGGCATATGGTGGTGGTCCATTCTGATGATGTATCCCACCCACCACATCTGACTTCTGGTAATCAAGGACTTAGTGCTGGTGGACTTTGCATGATCCAAAATCTCAAAGTTAGAGACACAGTCTTGCTAATGAACACCAAGGAGGAAACTGAGAGCATGCATATGAAATTTCTCCAGTTATTTGATGTGCCATCAGTACAGAGTTCAGGATGCACATCCATATTAGGAGATAAGAGATAACCACAATCCTGTAGACTTTTAGCTATGATTGTTGTATTGAGCATTCTAGTATGCAGCCACCACAGAGCCTGAAGTTTTGGACTTCAGCTTGCATTAGACTCATCTAGTATAATCATAAGAAGAGACTGTGGGAGTTGTTTAAAACACCAGGAAGGCTCCAATCTGCTTAGCTACCTTAGTACAGAAGTGTGATTCTTTTCATGGCAAAGCATTAGAAATGGCATGCATGTTTAGCATTCCTTTCTATATGAGTATGTACTTCAAGTCAGTGTTGACTCCTGGTGACTTTCTGGACTAGATTCTACAGTTTTCTTGGCAAGATTTCAGAAGTGATTTGCTCTTGCTTCTTTCCAAGCCTGAGGGAGAATGAGTGGCCAAGATTACTTGTTTGGCTTTGTGCCTGAAGCAGAGCTCGAAGTCACTGTCTCCTTCCTGTTTTCTAGTTTGATGCCTTTAACCACTGCAGCAACATGGCTTTCCATAGCATTTCTTAGCAGAATCTAAGAGCTTTCTGAGTCTAGTATTCACATGCTACCGGCTACCTGTGTCATTCTAAAGCACAGAGTAAGTTGTCCATCTCAACCATAAGGCAGCTTGCATTGCTGCATGTTGTTCAAATGTTTCCAAGTTCATAATTTGGCCCTGACTTGGACATATTTGTCAAGAAAGTCTGTTGCTGGTAATATGGAGGGCTTACTGGAATTTTGTTTTCATTTGCAGGTGTCCATATGTTATTCCTGATTTTTCTCTTTCCTGTTTCTTATGGAAAGTGGTGCCCAGACTCCTGTGCATTTTCAGTGTTAACATGCTCAACATTTCTGCCTTCCGAATCCATCGTGTGGAAAATACAGGTGAAAGTTTTCATCATGATAGACAATCCATGGAAATCTCCTGGTTCTTCTTTCTCTCCCCCTTTTTTTTAATACAAAGTAATTCTGTATTTATGCAGATAACTGCCAAGATTACACCATATACTCCTGGCCTACTTTTGTCCTGGAAGGAGAACCCACAGTCCTAAAATGTCTACAATTCAAAAATACAAACCCTTTTGATCTATCCCTTAACCTGACTTGGGAGAAAAAAGATTCATCGGGTATTATCCCCATAGGATTCAAGGGACCAAGAATAATGTCACAAGGTGATGCTGTTTGGCTTTTACCAACCATTCTTCAGGACAGTGGGGAATATATCTGCACTCAAAGGTAAGCATACAACTCATGGGATCATTCCATTTTACATAGCTTAACTTGGGAAAGAAAGTGCACTTAGCCAGGAGTAGGTAAGAGGTTAGAGGAAAAGGCATTAGAGTACTAACACAGCACTCACAGTATACTCTTTGGAGGAACATTGTACAATATATTTCATGTATGTTAATTACACTGTTGGAAAATACATCAGTCCAGTTTTATTACCACAAAGCTTAATTATTCAATTTAGGCGAAAGGAGTAGGACAAAATACTTTTAATTTGCATATTTATGTGAACTGATTGGTTTTTTTAAAAAAATTTGGACTAATGTGAACATAGTTTATGTCAGATTGTGCAGGTTCCCTGATTTTTTGATATATTTAGTGGTTGCCAATTTAGGGATTAATGGTGTCCATAATGAAAGAATGCCTGAGTTACAAAACTAGTGTGTGTTAAGGATTGGAAAAAAAATCAGATTAGATATAATTTTTACCATTATTGTAATATTGTAATATCTACAAATGAAGAGTTTGAGAATTTAGAATTTCCAAAACATGATTCAGTGGCCTGCTAAATAAAGCATCATTTCAGTAATTCAGTAATTCAGTGCTGACTACTACTGCATATAATTCTTGATTAATGTATGGACCACATTTAAGAGTGATAAATTATACAAACACACACACACACACACACACCTAGTACTTTTAAACTTTCCAGTCAGTTTCCTCCCACTGCAAATAGAAAAGCAAAAAGGTTTCACTGGCTTTGGATTTAGAGTGCAAAAATGTGATTTATAGGTAACTGGGCTAGTTTCGGTAAGTCTCTCTCTCTCTCAGCCCAATTCACCTCAGAGGGTTGTTGTTGTGGAAAAATAGGATATGTTCCACTGTCTTGAGCTACTTGTAAAAATAATGGAGGTGGAATATAAATAAACAAAAATAAATAATTGTGGCCCACCATTTTTATTTTTTTTGCATTGGAGAGATTTTAGAAGTTACTTTTTCATTTTTATGAGAGCTAAAAATCATTTTAAAAAGCAAGTACCCTGAAAGACCTACTTGAGATCTGTCTGTAGTTATGTCCTTCAACATGGATGCAAATACAGGTACAGCTTTTGATTCTGTGAAGTTGCACTTGGGCATATTTATGCCACCATTAAGATGAGCGCTACACTTAGCTTTATTAAGATTAGGACTTTACTATTGTTTTCTTTTGGAGAAAATGATAAGGAGAATGCTTACTTATGAGTTCGGCAATCAGTTGTAAAAAAATTAGTCTGGGGTTTCACCGAACTCTCATTCTGTTCCAGAAAACCCCCCAACTCTAAGGAGTGTGGGGGTGAAAGAAGAACACCAGGCTTTGTGTGAGCAGGGCAAAATCAAGGGACACAATTCAGTATGTCAGTACTGTCCAGTTTCTGGTGTTCCTATTACATGTTGTCTAAAACGATTAAATATGAGTAATCAAAAATGAAAAGTTTCATCTTTGTGTTTTAATGCTGCAATCGCTCATTATGAATTTATCTTTTCCTGCAGGAATTCCTCTTACTGCGCTAAAGTGTCAATACATTTAAAAGTCGTCAAGAGAAATGAAACCAATAATATTTCCTATCCTCAGAAGGCATTCCTGCTTAGTTCCGGAAAGATAGTTTGTCCTAACCTGGAAAATTTTATACAAAACAATACTAATTATGAACTCAAGTGGTACAAGGTATTATTTTCACATCATTTCTAAATTTGTATATGGGGATTTGAACTTGAATTTCCAATATTCAAAATTCACTAAATATGGTAAAGAATCTGTGGTTCTTCAGAGCTTGCTGTATTGCTGGTTCCATTACCTCTGATCATTATATTCTGTCTTAAGCTCAGGGAACTATGTAACTATCATCAGCTCCAGTAATGGGATTCAATTTTTTTTACTACCGGTTCTGTGGGCGTGGCTTGGTGGGCATGGCAGGGGAAGGATACTGTAAAATCTCCAGTCAGAGGTGGTCAGAAATGGTCAAAACCTGCTGAATACCACCTCTGATCAGCTCTATGTTATACATTATAAACTGAATAGAATGAGACATTCAATAGTGACCAACTTGTGACCAACCCTCAGTTATAGTCTAAATGAGGCCTGTGTTATAGCTTTGTTTGATTCACATCACCATTTCACTGTAATTCAGCAATATTGTTTTCAAAACCTGTACCGCTCTCACCACATTGTAGACTTTTTTTCCACTTGCATTTTAAGATATTATTGATTCCCCTCCCCCCCAAAAGTGCTGACTATTAAACAATGACCATTTCTCCACTATCTTCATAGCAGTTTTGAGATTCAATTGTTTTTACTACCGGTTCTGTGGGCATGGCTTGGTAGGTGTGGTAGGGAAAGGACTTTAACTTTAACCTTAGAGTTTCTACTATTGACCTCACCCCTTTCCTAAGATGTCTGTAGGGGGCATGCATAAGCGCATCAACGTGCCTACCGTCCCTGTCCTATTGTTTCTTTTATTTTTCTTACATGTATCCATGTATTCCTAACTATGTTTTTACTTATACCTATTATCTTGCAAGCAATTGACAAACCAAATAAATAAATAAATAGAATAGAATAGAACAGAACAGAACAGAACAGAACAGAACAGAATAGAATAGAATAGAATAGAATAGAATAGAATAGAATAGAATAGAATAGAATA